GTCCTCGCCCTTGTGATGAGGATCCTTTTAGTGCTTAGGTTGGTGATCCTTTCAGGGGGTGTGGGCAGGACAGGGTTTAGGGTTTAGGGTTTAGGGTTTAGAGTTTAGGGTTTACGGTTTAGGGTTGGTTTAGGGTTTAGGGGTTAGGGGTTTAGGGGTTTAGGGTTTAGGGGTCCGCACATCTTGACGACCTGCTCATGTAAGCAGACCCATACATTGCATGAGGATACTGATGTTCCAACTGCCTGGCTTCTACTTCATACGTACGAAGCACGATACAGCCGAAAAATACCCCGTGAGACCATCAGATCTTTACCCTAAACCCTAAACCCCAAACCCTGAACCGCAGAACATAAACTGTGAAGCCGCATCCTGAAGGCCACCTCCAAGAATCCCAACATCCTGAACCCCAAAGCGTAACCCTAACCCTAAAGCATGACGTCCTCGATCCTAGACCCTAAATCCGAAAATCCTCAACACGAAGCTGTCACTAAACCTGGAATCCTAAAAAGCCTAAGCCCTTAGAGCCCGAAGCCTGGAACAATTAAAAAACCCAAAGAGCTCAAACGGTTTAGGGTTTAGGGATTAGGGGTCAGGGTTTAGGATTTAGGGCTTACTTTAAGCAGAGAATAGCGCCTCCCCACACGCTTCGAAGGCCGGTACCACGAAGCAGCTCGGAGGCGATTTGCCACAAACGCCTGCGAAACGGAGGTGTTTGTGGGTTCTGGGGTTAGGGTTTAGGGTTTAAGGTTTAGGTTTTCGAATTTAGGGTTTAGGGTTTAAGGTTTAGGGTTTAGGGTGTAGGGTTTAGGGTTGAGTAGGGTTTAGGGTGAGAACACCAACTCTTCTGACTACACATGCAGCCATCACAGGCCACAGAAATTGGCTGCTACAGTAGCGAGGGTGTTTTACAGGGTAAACAAAAACTTCTGCTATGTTGCACGCTACACTGTAAAACCCCGCAACCTTAAACCCTAAGCCTCGAAGCCATAATCCACAAGCCAAACCACCAAGCCCTTAAACCGTGAATCCTAAATCTATGCTTTTCGGAACCCTTGTAGAACCCTTATTTACCAAAACCTCAAACTCAAAAAAACTACGTGCAACCCTGTATACCCCAATAAAACCCTCCCTGACAACAACCTTGTAGAACCTCAGGAAGGACTAAACCCTAAACCCTAAACCCTAAACCCTAAACTCTAAACCCTAAACCCTAAACCCTAAACCCTAAACCCTCCTTCTTGAAGGCCTGCCCACCTGGAGGTGGCAAGGGCAGCCCACTCAAGGCCTCCTGCAGCCCAAGAGAGGGAAGGAGGTCGACATCCTGGGCTTCTGAGGCTTAGGGTTTCAGGCTTCGGGACTTCGGGTTTAGGGTTGGGGCGTAGGGCTTAAGGTTCTTTAGGTTTTTGCATGGCTGTTTGTGTGCGTTTTTTGTGTCTTTCTCGTGTTGTATGAGTTTACGTAGCATCATGAGAGTTTAATTTCTAGGGCTATATGGCTTCATGGGGTTAAATACCGCTGGCATCAAGGCTTTATACGGGATTTACAGCGAGTTTATCACAGGGCTTTGCAAGCATGTTACGGATGTCATAAGGCCTTGTGTGGGGCTGGTGTGGTTTCGCACGGTGCGTCAAACGGTTTTGCCATGGCACGCAAGGACGCAAGTTGTCCTACTTGGGCTCACGGGTTCAGGGTGTAGGGTTTAGCAGCTCAGGGCTTCGGTGTTGTTCTTTTGGGTCAAAGGTTTGGGTCCCGGGTTTGAAGTTTACGGTTTAGGGCTCAGGGCTTAGAGTTTAGGGCTTAGCACCCCCGAAGAAAACCTGATTAGATTCGAACTTTTGTGAGCTCGAGGTCTGAGGCCTCAAACTCCAATGTCTGCTATCGTTCGATTACGAGAACTCCTAGATTAGGTTTAGGGTTTGGGGGTTTAGGGTTTAGGAGTTGGGGTTTGGAGTTTAGGGTTTAGGGTTTAGGGTTTTTTTTGCTGTTCTCAACGTGATCCCAAACCGACACTCGCAACCGGGCATCCGCCACGAGCGCCCAGCGTGATGAAACCAGCTCCAGGGAGGACGCCCGGAGTCCGTTGGCCGGGTACTTGCCCGACCCACCTGGATGCAGCTAATGTAGGGGCCTTAATAATTTGAATAGGGTTCCTTGAAAGGGTTACCAAAAAAGGGTACTATAAGGGTTTAGGGCTTAGGGGCCTTAATTATTAGAATAGCTCCTGTATAGCATGATTGTAATCAGAAACTAGTAATTCTTTTGGCTTCTAAAGTGGGGCTCAGGGCCTTGAGCTTCTTAGGCTTTAAGGTTTGAGGTTTAGGGTTTAGGGTTTAGGCTTTAAGGTTTGAGGTTTAGGGCTCGGGCCTAGGGGTACACGGTTGAGGGTTTAGAGGGCGTTCGGCTCAGTGAAGCCCATGCAGCGCCGGGCTGTCAAGCATTCCGTGTTAATGGCCTAGGGCATTATGAGCCAAAAGGGGTTTAGGGTTTAGGATTTAGGGTGTGCCGTACAGAGAGCTCTGAACATGTCAAATCCAAGGCTCCCAAGCGATTGGCCCACTCGTTGTCGCTTCCAGCTACAAAGCCGGCAGAAAAGCCCCCTACAAGACACCCATAAACCCTAAACCCTAAACCCTAAACCCCTAAACCCTAAACCCGAAACCCTAAACCCTACATACAAGACAACTCTCCGGAACACAACACTGAAATCTAATCTCCACCCTAAGCTCAAGCCCCAACCCCGGACTGAAACCATCCGCCCCCTCGTCCCTGCAAAAGCAAAGAGAGCCCTAAACCCTAAACCCCCTTAAGCCCCTAAACCCTAAACCCTTAAGCCCTAAACCCTTAAGCCCTTAACCCTTAAGCCCTTAAGCCCTAAACCTTCAACCCTAAATTCATTATTTAAAAAAAAGAGAGCACAGCACCCAAAGCCGCCCAGCTGCCACAGGCAAAGAGCGCCAGAGCCAGCCGTGGGCCGGCAAGACGGCAGAGCCTGGGATCCCATAGAAATCGCTGTCGCAGGGAATAGGTTTGGGGGGTTTAGGGCTTCAGGGCTTTAGGGTTCGGGGTTGGATTTAGGGGTTTAGGGCTTTAGGGGTTGAGGGTTTAGGGGTTTTGGGGTTTAGGGTTTAGAGTTTTAGGGAGGGTTTCGGAGTTGGAATTCAGGTGTAAAGGTAGTTGTGGTAGCCGTCGTCGCTGTTGTCACCCCCAACTAACTGTACGAACGCACAAGCTAGAATGCGAACCAACCGGAACATCACAAAACAAAACAAAAAGCTTATGAACCGACACAAAACAGCACCAAACCCAGATAGTTCTTACTGCTGCGAGCATGTTTGCTTTCTCTTGCCAAGTATCGGCTTAGTAATTGCCACTGTAAAACCATAAGCCCCATGCACACCCAGCACAACAGCGTACATCTCTAGAAGCAATTTATAAAACGCCTGCAACACCACGAAAATACCGCCAATGCTGCAAACAAGCTTTAAATTTAAACAAACAAGCCTAAACCCTAGCAAGCCAAGCCGCTACACAGTCCCACAACCCTCCAAAGCCAAAGGTGGGTGGAATTCTTCCGCCTTGCAGACAGCTCGTAAACCCCCAAATCCTAAGCTCTTTCAAGGGAGCTCGAAACCCATGAAATCCGCTTTCAAGTTCTAGCCTCCCAAAGCCCTGACCCTGAACCCAACCCGAATTTGTTGCAGGGCTCTCAAGAAAAAACCAAACCCTAAGCTGTTACGGTGCTCTTGAGGCCACAGACCTAGACCCTGAACCCCCCCTAAGACCCCAAAGCCCTCAAACCCAAGCCCTTACAGAGCTTGCAAGCACGAAAGTCCTCAAACCCTCTTCCCTAAACCCTAAACCCTAAGCCCCTCGACCCCTTAACCCCTTAACCCTAAGCCCTAAACCCTGTTCCCTAAACCCCCTAAAACCGCAAACCCCTGAAGCACTAGAGCTGTAAAGCCCGTAACCCCTAAAGCCCTAGAGCCCTAGAGCCCTAAGTACGAAAGACCTTTATGTACTAT